CCCGCTTTAACCAATTCCCTGCTTTAAGGTAGAAGCCTACTCATGATTTCAAATACCCAGAATTTATTCATTTTTTAAAAAATTGTACTATCGAGCAATATAAGTATATTGACTTAAAAAAAGTTGGGGGTCACCAGGTTAAATTTTGAGAAAATCATGGCTGTATCTTAGTGGATAGTGGTCATTTTGGCAGTAATATAGTGCTTTTACCATAGGGTCCTATGGCAGAGATATTATGCCATAACTCAAATTGGGGTACTTTTTGTTTTCCTGAATTTTTTTCAAAAATCTGGGTTTTAAAAAGTGTTGAAAAATGCAATTTTTCTTTAACATTGCACTCTATGGAATTGTTCTAAAAATAACGATTTTTGAAAAATACTAGGACAAGTTTCGCAAAATACGCCAATGTAACAAAATAATGCTATTTTTATGGTGTCATGGGACAATAGCTTCATGATTTTACATAATAAACCAATGAACATTGACATGCGATTTATGACCAAAAGTTATGTGTAGGCTTTTACCTTAACCAAAATCCAGGTCAGTGGTTATCGTGCAGCATCTGTCTGAATATTATGTAATTTGATGCTCAAACAGTACATATTTATTTATCGCTACGATATGAGAATTTCAGACTGTTACAATGTGACGAAAACACTTAATGACTTAATTTCATTCAAAAATCTGGTTCTTGTATAATACTAGCCCATGTCACTTGTATCAAAGAGCTCTAAAAACCTAGTAATATCAGGCTATACCCTCTGTAGCCTCATAGTATGCATAATCACGACCAATCGCCCTTTATCAAATCGGTGCCACCCAATTCAATCTCTGCGTTAATCTTGGTTAACTAAGTGACTTGTATAAGGTTTTATATATTGACAGGCAGTTTACAACTGTAATGGAATTTTTATAATCGGTGTATGCTTGTCTATTTTGTGCAAAAACAAGGTTTGTCTGATTCCGGTATACATTTCAATCTGAATATAGTTGGGCAGTTGTCATCGCGCAGCGAGTGTTTGATTTTCATGTAAACAATGTACATGTTTATACATCGCTATGAGTCCCATATGAACAGAACGCAGCACAACGACCACCGACCGCCCTTACAATTACTGTTGATTATAAAACTATTTTTAATACGTTTATGTCCAAGAAGTTGGGGGAAAAATCAGTACAACAGTTAGTTTCATACATTGTACTGATTGTCTTCCTTGATAATAAAGTATATTGTCATTTATTTAAAAGTCATTCATGTCTGGACTATTACTGTAGTACCGTAAAATCTGTATTAGAAGCCGCATCCCTAATAGAAGTCGCACCCATTCTTTTTGAATAATTGAGAACCAAAA